TGAGGTATTGTGAGGTACTGAGGTATTTGAGATATGTTAGATATTAGGTAGTGTGAGGTAGTGTGAGGTAGTGTGAGGTAGTGTGAGTTATCTGAAATAGTGTGAGGTATCTGAGGTATCTGAGGTATTGTGAGGTACTGAGGTATTTGAGATATGTTAGATATTAGGTAGTGTGAGGTAGTGTGAGGTAGTGTGAGGTAGTGTGAGTTATCTGAAATAGTGTGAGGTATCTGAGGTATCTGAGGTATTGTGAGGTACTGAGGTATTTGAGATATGTTAGATATTAGGTAGTGTGAGGTAGTGTGAGGTAGTGTGAGGTAGTGTGAGGTATATGCGATATGTTAAATATGAGGTAGTGTGAGGTAGTGTGAGGTAGTGTGAGGTAGTGTGAGGTAGTGTGAGGTATATGAGATATGTTAAATATGAGGTAGTGTGAGGTAGTGTGAGGTAGTGTGAGGTAGTGTGAGGTATATGAGATATGTTAAATATGAGGTAGTGTGAGGTAGTGTGAGGTAGTGTGAGGTAGTGTGAGGTAGTGTGAGGTAGTGTGAGGTAGTGTGAGGTAGTGTGAGGTATATGAGATATGTTAGTTATGAGGTAGTGTGAGGTAGTGTGAGGTAGTGTGAGGTAGTGTGAGGTATATGAGATATGTTAGTTATGAGGTAGTGTGAGGTAGTGTGAGGTAGTGTGAGGTAGTGTGAGGTAGTGTGAGGTATATGAGATATGTTAGATATGAGGTAGGGTAATGTTGTGTTACGTAGTGTGATTTAGTATGAGGTACCTGATGTAGTATGAGATAATGTAAGATAGGATAGTACTAATAATAAAGTCACGTCACCATGTAGACTCAGCTACTTAAAGGTAGTAAACGCTTAACGACACACCCTAAAGAGGAAGAGACAGATGAAACTATAGAGAAAGTCACAGAAGAAAATGAGCAAATAAAAACATGGCGCAAGTAAAAGAGGAAACAGAGAGAGGAAGCGAGCAGTTGGACGGAGAGAAAAGACGAACACCACAAGGTCATTTAATTGATAGACAGAAAAGACCAGCACCCCCCCCCCCCCCACCTCCCTACCCATTCTCACATGCGTTTTCATCATTACAGTTAAGACATCCTGTGTTTTCGTTATTCTGCTTCTGAAATCTGAAAAGATTATTTAGAATTATAAAAATCGTTTGCTTAAAAGATGTCCTCAGTGTTGTCAAAAAAATAAATATCGACCTCATTTTCCAGCGCTGCACTGATTTGTTTTTAAATAGAACAAGGGGAGGCAACGCGAGAGGTGGGGGACTCAGGAGCCCGGGCGGTAATACCCGGTCTAGAGAAATCTTAAGTAAACACCTGCTTTCTGCTGGAGCAGAAGGCGTTTGTCAGAGGTCAAGAAATAATTTCCAGGTTTTTCCGCTTTCGTATTGTTAAACTGCATTCATTGTACGAGGCTTGGGCTGTTTAACCTGGTTAAACCACATGTAAGGCACTATATTTCGTTCAGTTAGCTTGGTTAAACTGTATGTAAGGCACCAGGTTAGCGTGGTTAACATACAATCTTGGTACTAGGTTAAGGTTAGTTAGTAAAGTTAACTAGAATTAATAGTTATGTTAAGATGATCATGTTGACTGCCATAGTAGGTAGAGGAATTCTTTCAGCTGTATTGTTGGCTCATTGGCCAGGGTGTACAGTAACTGACGAACAGTAGTCCAGATTTCACTGTTCTTGAGAACAACCACAATAAAACACAAAGTTAGACACATCAATAAGACACGAGTTTTTAAAGAGAAACTTGTAGACTTTAATGAGTTTTAGGGACGAGGTTGGCCAGGAAACAGTTGCTTTAAAGTGGACCTTCAGCTTGACTGGTGCCTAATTATTGATGGGTGCTCTTCAGGCAGAAGATTGCTTCATTAACGTCTGGCGTATGGTCTGGATAGATGGTCCGATCTGTGGTCAAGTGTGTTGGTCCTGTATATTGTCGTCTGTTGGTCCTACATATGGTCACGTATGTTGGTCCTACATATGGTCAAGTATGTTGGTCCTACATATGATCAAGTATGTTGGTCCTACATATGGTCAAATATGTTGGTCCTACATATGGTCAAGTATGTTGGTCCTACATATGGTCAAGTATGTTGGTCCTACATATGGTCAAGTATGTTGGTCCTACCTATGGTCAAGTATGTCCTACATATGGTCAAGTATGTTGGTCCTACATATGATCAAGTATGTTGGTCCTACATATGGTCAAGTATGTTGGTCCTACATATGGTCAAGTTTGTTAGTCCTACATATGGTCAAGTATGTTGATCCTACATATGGTCAAGTATGTCCTACATATGGTCAAGCATGTTGGTCCTACATATGGTCAAGTATGTCCTACATATGGTTAAGTATGTTGGTCTACATATGGTCAAGCATGTTGGTCCTACATATGGTCAAGTATGTCCTACATATGGTTAAGTATGTTGGTCTACATATGGTCAAGCATGTTGGTCCTACATATGGTCAAGTATGTCCTACATATGGTTAAGTATGTTGGTCTACATATGGTCAAGTATGTTGGTCCTACATATGGTCACGTCTGTTGGTCTACATATGGTCAAGTTTGTTGGTCCTACATATGGTCAAGTTTGTTGCTCCAACATATGGTCAAGTATGTCCTACATATGGTCAAGTTTGTTGCTCCAACATATGGTCAAGTATGTTGGTCCTACATATGGTCACGTCTGTTGGTCTACATATGGTCATGTTTGTTGGTCCTACATATGGTCAAGTATGTCCTACATATGGTTAAGTATGTTGGTCCTACATATGGTCACGTCTGTTGGTCTACATATGGTCAAGTTTGTTGGTTCTATATATAACCAGAGCTAAACCAACATAAACTATAAATGCATAATTAATTTAACTAATGAGCTGATAAGTAAATTTAGACTAAGACAAGATCACACGTTTCTGTGATATTAATTTCAGTCTCGATAAAATCTCTTACAAAATTAACTGATTCTTATTTTATCAGTTAATTCATAAAGCTGCAAGCACCAAAAATAATAATAATCATCATCTTTATCATCATCGTTCCTGTGATCCACTTGTGAACATAGAGACGCAACCTATCCATGGTACTCAGTTCTGAGCGATTCCACCAAGCACCAACACACAAGCACATAGAACTCTTTAGATAACAATACATTCCTCGTATACTCTACCCTATTTACAAGATAACTGCTCTCCCTTAGATGTAGGCGTTTGCCAGCTTCAAATGGTGTTAGCTTACCAAACGTAAGCATATGCCTGTTTAATTACTTCATTAATAGCTGATTAGCTTTCAAACAAAAAGCCTCTTTAATTCTGCACTTCAAGTATATTTTATTTGTCACCAGCGCAACTTGATTTCGTGGGATAAATAAATAATTGATTTTTAAACTGTTTTAGTGTAGGCCCGAGATTCTCGAATAAAAACTAAACGTTTATTGATTTGCTGGACTGTGTTTCGTTGACAGAAACTAGGTTTTTTCTCTCGCTCAGATAAGCAGATATTGTTTCATAAGAAATGTAATCAGGAGATTTAAAGGGAATATGACACACACAGACACATAAACAAATATACTCACAATCATATGCACACACTCGTAGGCCTAAGTACACAGCCGCACACACCCACCCATATATATATATATATATATATATATATATATATATATATATATATATATATATATATATATATATATATATATATATATATATATATATATATATGTGTGTGTGTGTGTGTTTATATGTGCTGCCAATTTTGTATATTTCAGTTTAAAGCAAATAACACTTTTTCGTATTAAATTTATATAGAATTGTAAATCTAATTTTATTATTGTTTGTCAATGTTATTTGAATAACAAATGCTACCATCGTTATCAAGTTTCGAGTTTTCAGTGAGTTTCATTTTAGGTGTGAGCGGACTTAGGCCTTTTAGTGACCAAGTGATCTAGGCCTGACCAGGGGATATAGGCCTTTGTTGACTAGTGGATCTAGGCCTTCGACCAGGGGATCTAGGTCTTCGACCAGGGGATCTAGGCCTTTGTTGACCAGGGAATCTAGGCCTTTGTTGACCAGGGGATCTAGGCCTTTGTTGACCAGGGGATCTAGGCCTTCGACCAGGGGATCTAGGTTTTTGTTGACCTGGCGATCTAGGCCTTTGTTGACCAGAGGATCTAGGCCTTTGTTGACCAGGGGATCTAGGCCTTTGTTGACCAGGTGATCTAGGCCTTTGTTGACCAGGGAATCTAGGCCTTTGTTGACCAGGTGATCTAGGCCTTTGTTGACCAGGGAATCTAGGCCTTTGTTGACCAGGGGATCTAGGCCTTTGTTGACCAGGGGATCTAGGCCTTTGTTGACCAGGTGATCTAGGCTGCTTTGTTGACCAGGGGATCTAGGCCTTTGTCGACCAGGTGATCTAGGCCTTTGTTGACCAGGGAATCTAGGCCTTTGTTGACCAGGGGATCTAGGCCTTTGTTGACCAGGTGATCTAGGCTTTGTGGACCAGGTGATCTAGGCCTTTGTTGACCAGGGGATCTAGGCCTTTGTTGACCAGGGGATCTAGGTCTTTGTTGACCAGGGTATCTAGGCCTTCGACCAGGGGATATAGGCCTTTGTTGACCAGGGGATCTAGGCCTTTGTTGACCAGGGGATCTAGGCCTTTGTTGACCAGTAGATCTAGGCCTTTGGCCATGGGATATTGGCCTGTACTGACCAAGGGATCTAGGTCTATGTGAACAGTGTATGTGTCAGGTAAGAAAAGATCGTGGGGGAAGGGGGGGGGGGGGCATCGTGAACGGATCACAGGACATGACTGTATTAGTATACACACATTTACAAACTTTTACAAACTTTTACAAACATTTACAAACAGTTACAAACATCCGCACATATTTACAAACATTTACAATTATTTACAATTATTTACAAACATTTACAAACTTTTACAAACATTTACAAACTTACTGGACCAGGAAGATGAGGCCCGGCGGTAGCTTGAGAATCTCAGTCATGTTCTGAACAAACTGTAGTCCAACTGGAGTGCTCACCCTGAAAAACACACACAGATTTGACTCACCCGCACATCAACGTTACATGAATAAATCAAAGACATTCACACCGATGTTCCTGGTTTTACGTGGCAGATAAGTGAAGATTAAAATCCGTTCATTACTTGAGAATCAAAAATTAATCACTTTAAATATATATGTAGAAAAGGGTAATATATAACTGTAATTCTAAAGCAAATACAACAACAGCACTAGAGAGTTTGCTTTTTTATTTTTATTTTATTTTATTTTATTTTTTTTATTTTTATTTTTTTTTATATTTTTTTTTTACTATCACTAGAGAGTTTGCAAAAAAAAACCCCATCTCTTATAACATTTAACATTTGTTTTAGCAGTTAGAAAGAAATTGTTTTAAGTGAAAATTTAATTCAATATGGGGTTGCTTTGATAAATTTTATTTTTTTCGTATTTTATAAAGAATGAACTGCATACTTGCTAGATCTAGATTTAGATCGTGACATTTTAAAAAACAAGTTAAGTAAAAATGTTGGCAGCATTTGTGAGATTGGAAAGAACACGATAACAGGAAAGTCGGAGATTGTTGAGAGAAAAGAGTTATTGCTCCTGATAATATAGAACGTATGGAGCTATTGCTCCAGATAACATAGAAAGTATAGAGTTACTGCTCCTATAATATAGAGAGTATAGAGTTACTGCGCCTATAATAAAGAAGGTATAGAGTTACTGCTCCTATAATATAGAAAGTATAGAGTAACTGCTCCTATAATATAGAAACTAAAGAGTTGCTGCTCCATAGATTAAAGAGTTATTGCTCTATAGGTTATAGAATGCACTGCATTACATGGGTATTGATAGGATTGTTGGAAGAGGAAGCGAGGTCCACCTTTCGATATATATATATATATATATATATATATATATATATATATATATATATATATATATATATATATATATGATTGGTAGATATTTTCTAATTTTTGGGTTTAGGTGGGTGTAGGTAATTGACCTCTTTTGACTAACGTGCTAACGCCCATGTGGTGTTATAGTTCCTGAGAATTCAGAAAGTACTGAGTTATAGTTCTTAGAATTCAGAAAGTACTGAGTTATAGTTCCTTAGAATTCAGAAAGTACTGAGTTATAGTTCTTGAAAGTTCACAAAATGTAGTTATCGGTCCTGGGGTCACCTGTTTGTCATTTTTCTTTTAACGGACAACGTCAGAGAAGGGAAGATGAGTGGAGTGAGAAGGGGGGGGGGGGGTGGACAAGCTTGTGTAAAATGCTCTAATTGCAGTGCCGCCATTTTCTTTGTCATTATTTCAACTCTTCGCCAACGGGTTCTCTCCCTGCCTCGCACCGACAAATTTTGGCGAAAATCAATGGGCACGTAACTCCCGCCTTCATTTCTTACATTACAGCGTCTTCATGGGAAACCACTCGTGTGCCCTGCAACACTGCAGGGCTTCTCTACAAACCCAGCGTTCAGAACGTTGCTGTGGGGAACCCATAGATATCGTCCGAATCTCTCAAGTTTCCATCATGCTCTACCACTGGCTGTTTGATTTCCACACCGTAATGCCAGCAGAGGTCATGTGTACACGCTTCATGAGCTGCTCTGTCAAAGCCTTCTATAACATTGCCAATGTTAAAACTGATTTGGAATCAAATTATTTATATAAAAAAATATAACTTGGACAGATTTTTATTATATCATGTATTTAAAGATATTTTATTTCAAAATGAATATAGATGAATAAAAAATGAAATACGAAAGAATGGAAGCATTAATTAGCGAAAAAAATTAAAAGAAATGTATCAATTATTTTATTATAAAAAGTTGTAAAGCTAACAGAAGGATTGCGCTTGAATAATTCAATCCGTGTACATTATTACATTTAAAACAACGGGGAAAAGACAAGACAGAATGTGATACTAAAAAAAAATGTTTTCAATTACGTTGTTTTAATTAAAGTTATCAAATTCTGGTTGGTTGTGCTGATGTAGATGTTGGTGGTAGTGGTGTTGGTGGTTGCGGTGTTGGTGGTTGTGGTAATGGTGGTTGTGGTGTTAGTGGTGTTGGTGGTAGTGGTGTTGGTGGTTGTGGTGTTGGTGGTTGTGGTGTTGGTGGTTCCCAGGTTGGTGGTAGTGGTGTTGGTGGTAGTATTGTTGGTGGTAGTGGTGTTGGTAGTAGTGGTGGTGGTGGAAGTGTTATTGTTGTTGGTTGTGTTGTTGTTGGTAGTGGTGTTGGTGGTAGTGGTGGTTGTGTTGTTGGTGGTTGTCAGGTTGGTGGTAGTGGTGGTGGTGGAAGTGTTATTGTGATGCTGGTGGAAGTGGTGTTGGTGGTAGTGGTGTTGGTGGCAGTGGTGTTGGTGGTAGTGGTGTTGGTGGTAGTGGTGTTGGTGGTTGTGTTGTTGGTGGTTGTGATGCCGGTGGAAGTGGTGTTGGTGGTAGTGGTGTTGGTGGTAGTGGTGTTGGTGGTAGTGGTGTTGGTGGTAGTGGTGTTGGTGGTTGTGTTGTTGGTAGTTGTGATGTTGGTAGAAGTGGTGTTGGTGGTAATGGTGTGATGTTGGTGGTTGTGGTGTAAGTGACAATTTGTTTGAGACTGTTGTGCAGGTGGTTGTCAGGTTGGTGGTTGTAGTGTTGTTAGGTGGATGTGTTAATGCGGTTGTGATGTTTGTGACAGTGGTGTTGGTGCCAGTGGTATTGGCGGCAATGTTGTTGGTGTTAGTGGTGTTGGTTTTTGTGGTGGTAGTGATGGTGGTAGTGATGGTGACATGCTGACGGTAGATGAAGAAGTCGTAGATAACATAGATGATGTGGACGGACCTTTGTGCTATACCACTATAATGACGACAGACGTCAAGAAAACCCATGCTCTACATTATTACTGCACATTAATTAATTAGTTTCAAAGATCACGAAAAATCTCCATTTTGTTCGTGTATCCAAAAGTATCCTACTCAAGTCAACGTAATACGGTTTTAATCCAAGCCTACACAAAAAAAAAAAAAATAACGTAGGATTGTATTTTTACTATTAAACTAAGTCATCAGCATTATCATCATCATTTCTGGGACATTAAGTAGCCATTACTTAATCATTTGTAAAGAAATAACAAGGCAAAAAATATTTTAATACATAAAATATCCTTCATCCAGAAATACAAGTTTGATCAGCGCAATGCGATTGGTTTTCATAAGAAATAAGACCTGCATTACCGTAATGGTCGTTTTCTTTCACTTAAAGTGATGCTTCTATTATCTAAAAAGTTTTGTGTTTTTAAAATTTGAAATATTTTTCGATTCTTTTTGTAACTGTTATTGTGGGAAAACTTAAAATACAAGCAGGCCCTGGGTTTATGGGGATCAAAGAGTTTAATCTGGTGATCTGCTGATTAAGGTAAGGTTGTGAGTGGGATTTATACCTGACAGAGCCATGTAATATGCGGAGGTTGTATTCAGGTAAAATGAGGTAAATATGTCAGGTTTTCATTTCTGGCATATCAATCAAGGTAGGTGTATGTTTTTTCAAACAAAATTACGTAGGACAATGATATTTTTGTAAAGAAAGGCTAATAAGAATAAAATTTCATGAGACAAGTAGGCCTATTTATTTGTAAAAAAATAAGACTGAAATTACGTGGGACTAGTATTTTTGTAAAGAAAAGAAAATAAGAATGAAACTACGTCGTTAGATACTGGCTAAAGTAGGCGTAATATGTAATGGACGTGCTAAAGTAGGAGTAATATGTAATGGACGTGCTAAAGTAGGAGTAATATCGAATGGACGTATGGGATTAAATACTTTTGCCATCCAGTCAAGTTTGTCACATGCTAAATACGCCAGTTTTAATTGAGGCATTTTCACTTGGACTTAGTAAAGACCAGAGATTTACACGGGTTGGATTTGAAAGGGAAATCCTTTTTTCTGGAATTGTTCTAGCAAAAGAATTAATAAAGAAGTAAATTTGTTATATGCAAATAATGGTAGTTGAGTTTTGAATTAGTAAATGGTTTTTAGTAAAATCTTTTAAAATACAAACAGAATTTTTTTTATTCTTTGCATCGCTCCCGTCCAACTATAAAAAGAGTATAAATAGATGTTAGATTAGGTCTGATAGGCAACATGACTATGTTAATCTAGAACACATTCTTAGGTTTAACTAGAGCAGAGGATTAACAGGATCACACGACTTGGTTTAATTGGAAGACAGGATTACTAGGCTGAATTTGGAGGCGTTACGACAAGGCTTATCACGAAATGATAAACACATAACGACATATCGTGATATCTCTAGAGGTCTGAGTAGCTAGATGACAAAGTAAGGTGCAGTTCCTGGTGGACTTCCAATATCTAGACCAGCTAGCTTCAGGTTTACAGAAAATGTGACTTTAGTAGCAAATAGTGGTAGTGGTGTATGTGTGTGTGGGTGGGGGGAGGGGAGGGGAGGAGAGGCGAGGAAGGGGGATATTGCAGTCTAAATAAAAAATAGAAAAAAACTTGCATGGTTACCTTTGATTAACACATGGTAGTTAATTACATTTGGTAATAAATATATGATACTGAATTGACTAAAAACTATTCATTATTATTTTAATAGATATATTGATTATCAACAAAAATTAGTTGATTAATAAATTGCTCTATTAATATTACATGTTAATAGATCAATACACCAAAGCATAATACTTTCAGTATGCATAGTAATAATTACAATATTAAAACTATTTACTAGGGTTACTGAAATTACTGTTTCTGTTAAATTTTTAGTGATAATTTTTGAACAAACTGTAGATAAGTGATATATAGATACTGTAAAACTTCAGCTCTAAGGTAAGTCGGTGAGTACAATGTTGCTGGGAGGAATTTAGCCTGGAGCTGTAGAGATACTTACTCTTTGGACAGCTGCAGGTACATGGAGTGGGAGTCCACAGCTCTCGCTTTACTGGCAGCATCACCGTTCTGTCCCTCCTCGTTGGGTTGAACAGTGCTCGATGGTTTGTCGTCGCTTGGTTCTGGCAGGATGGAAAGGCGGAAATACGTCATTTGTAGTTCTTTTCAAACTGTGTTGATACAGTCTTTATATACATATATATATATATATATATATATATATATATATATATATATATATATATATATATGTATATGTATATATATATATATGTATATATATATATATATATATATATTTACATAAATACATACGTACACACACAAACACAGAAACACACACACACACACATATATATATATATATATATATATATATATATATATATATATATATATATTATATTTGTATCTATATATGTTAAAATACAATCAGGCAATTTTTCCGTATCTGCCTGGGCACTTGTGGGCGTGGCAGATGAAAGAAATGTCGACTTATTCCGAAATTTCGGAAAGGGAAACCACTCGATAAAATATAAATAAACACACAATTTGTTGATTGTCATATTATTGTGAGTCATAAAGAGCTGAAAAAACCCCATCTTTCTTCTATGTTATCTTACAATTTCTATCTATAAATGTTAAAGAAAACAGGAGGCCTATATTGAAAATGGAAATATAGCATTTTGAAATTTTTATTTTCAATGTATAAATTAGTGAATGTTTGTCGATTGTTGAAGGCAAATGTTAAAAAAAGCTCGTTAAAATGTGATATGATTAACTAAACATTCATCTAAAGTTTACATCGTACTGAGCATACTTTAGGGGAAGGGTAGAACAAAACGACCAAATAGCAATGTATGGTACTAATATTTTAGTTAGTATTCAGGTTAGTGTTACACAGTAAGACTAGCATTATATATATATATATATATATATATATATATATATATATATATATATATATATATATATATATATATATATATATATAGCATGTGTGTGTGTATAATTGTGTATGTGTGCATGATAGCGTGCCCCAACAAAGACACTTTCTCCAGTAACATATTGGTTGGGTCGAGACTGTTATTGCCTTTCGATTTTTTCCCCTTGAAATATGAAATCAATAGGGCCACCAACCCGCCACCAACCCGAGTAAATGCCGGTTCTGACCGGACGCACGGCAGGAAATACGATGCCCACTGATAGGCTGCGTCTTCTCTGCCGGCAAATTGACAGCCGTGTCAGACAAAGTGTGTATGGCAGATGAATGTCGTCCGTCAAACATCAAACACGGCCGATAAATCTTTGGTTCCGGATGGTGATAATTAGCTAGCTCTGAGCTAATAATAGTTTAGAGTTAAAACAATGGGAGCTCAATACAAGGGAGGTAATTAACTATCTCTTCGTTGACAAAACATTAGGCTGAAACTATGAGCATCTCAGGGGCGGTAATTATTTAGCTCTGCTCTGACGACATATTGGATTAAGCTATGGGGAGCCCGATACAGGGGCGGTAATTACTTGGCTGTGTGCTGATAACACACTGGGGTTAAAATATTGGCAGGCCAATATAGAAGAGGTAATTAATTAGCTCTTTTCTACACACCCGAGGTAATATATTGTCTTGGTGTGGTGAGAGTCGATGTGGTTGGGGACATCTTCTTGTTACAAGTTATGGTGAATGGGAAGAGGGGGTAACTGGTTTAGACTGGTCTGACATGTCTGGTTAAGTGGACATGGCAGTACCTGGACAGATGGACCTAATATTATCTGGGCAGATGGACCTACTATTACCTGGGCAGATGGACCTAAATATTACCTGGCTAGGTGGACCTAGTATTACCTGGCTAGGTGGACCTAATGTTATCTGGCTAGGTGGACCTAATATTACCTGGACAGGTGAAACTAGCAGTAATTGGATTTGTGAGTTGCAGTACGTTTAGCCTACCGTCACATTACGTTTCTCCTCACCAAGCCCCCACCCCAATTATATATATATATATATATATATATATATATATATATATATATATATATATATATATATATATATATATATATATATGTATGTATATATATATATATATATATATATATTTATATATATATATATATATATATATATATACATGTTAACTACAACTACAAACATTTTATGATGTGCATTTTTAAAAATTTGCAAATGATCTTTTCTAATGAAATATTTTACCTATTGATTATTTTGTTTCTTTTTCACTCTCAGTGTATTAATATTTCATTTTCAACAAAAAATATACAACAATATACACAAATTATAATTTCTCTGAAAGTCGTAATTTAAAATAACTTTTGAAAACATTTGTAAAAAAATATTTTTCTTTACATCTTAAACATGAAGAAAAATCAATCTGATTTCGTTGAAATAATCAAAAGGCATTAAGTCCATGATTATCTCCCCTTATGCCTGATGAAACCCTAGCGATGGCGTCTATGTACAGCCATGTTTTCTAGAACAATCGACCCGTCCAAGGCCCTCCTTTTATCAAAATCCATTATGTGCGTTGAACCTTTTAATAGCAAAGCGGACACCTTCATTTTCGTCCTCAAATCCCCCCCCCCCCTCCTTTGTGATCGGTTAAAAAAATCCTGTTTCCGGCCAAGCCTAGCTCTAAATTATTGATTGACGGAAACAACTCAAAGAGTTTATTTTGTGTAGTTGGGCGAGGGGGGGGGGGGATACAGTCTTAAGAGATAGGCCACTGGTAGTTTAATAAGGGAGACAACGTTTAAGTCACACTGTGAAGGAGATAGGTGAGTGATGGTTTTATAAGGGAGATAATGTTGACTTTGTGGAGATAGACTAGGTCTAGCTGTACAATGTTAAACTATCACAACCTACGGGAGATTTGTTGGCTATAGTTTTACAAGGGATAAAAAAGATAAACTATTACAATGTGTACACACTAGCGGTGTTTCTGTCAACAAATTTTTGTGTAGAATTCTCACAATTCTTACGAGTTACTGCAAATTCTAGTTCTATCATAAAAACAATTTTTAACCTTCAGATAAGTTAGAGAATAATGTTATTTATAGTGTTTCAATAATGTTTTTTAGTTTCAACGTCAGAATCTATTAATCTATCTAAAGGGGACATCACTCTCGCGGACTTAAGTAGATGAAGACGAGAGTGACTCCTGCTGAGTTAGGGTTATCTTCACGACTCCGCTCGCGTGAATACAATTCTCGTGGGATTTGTTTAAATATTAACTTAAGCATACACTAGTTGGTACGCTATCACATCATGGCATTCAAGTGGTTTGAAAAATTCTATCAACAGCAGAAGTATGATCATCATTGATGGAGCTATTTAAACTACACAGACATACATTATGTGTATTTGTATATTTACATATATATATATATATATATATATATATATATATATATATATATATATATATATATATATATATATATATATATATATATAAGTATAGACATAGACATAGACATAGATAAAGATGCAGATGCCGATGCCGATGCCGATGTAGATGTAGATGTAGATGTAGATGTAGATGTAGATGTAGATGTAGATGTAGATGTAGATGTAGATGTAGATGTAGATGTAGATGTAGATGTAGATGTAGATGCAGATATAGATATAGATATAGATATAGATATAGATATAGATATAGATATAGATATAGATATAGATATAGATATAGATATAGATATAGATATAGATATAGATATAGATATAGATATAGATATAGATATAGATATAGATATAGATATAGACAACTATATATAAGCATATATAAGTGCGAGTATATTTATAGCATAAAACATTGCCTTTGATGTTTATTTAATTTGTTCCTAGTCACATTAAAAAGGAATTTTTTAAAAATCATAATGAACATTTATATCATTCCTCATTTAGCTTCATTGTGTGTTGTGAAAATAGATAGGGATTATCAATGATGGCCGCGTGTAGGCAGTGCACAGTTCTTTGGTTTCAATAGACCTATAGAACTGGTGTCAACAGTGGTAGTAGCAGTGTTGTGGTGAAGACGGGGCTAATCCAACCATTTCCGGTTAGGAACCCCTAACCCGACAACCGAGTCCCAGGATGCACCATCAACTCCTAGACTTATCGAGTCCCCGAAGGATGAGTTTCCGGCAGGAAATTATGCGTCCTAAGAATGCAGGCATTGTTCCCGCGCTGAGACATTGAGGTGCGCTATTCACGCATGAGAAACACGTCTCTATAGATTACCCGCATCATTGTGGGATGGGAATAATTCAGCCTCGGAGCGCAAGTACTCTCACAGAGTCAACACGCTGTCACGTTATCTATACACGAAGTACTGTCACGTTATCTATACACGAAGTACTGTCACGTTATCAATACACGAAGTATTGTCACGTTAACATTACACGAAGTACTGTCACGTTATCTATACACGAAGTACTGTCACGTTATCTATACACGAAGTACTGTCACGTTATCTATACACGAAGTACTGTCACGTTGTCAATACACGAAGTATTGTCACGTTAACATTACACGAAGTACTGTCACGTTATCTATACACGAAGTACTGTCACGTTATCTATACACGAAGTACTGTCACGTTATCAATACACGAAGTACTGTCACGTTGTCAATACACGAAGTACTGTCACGTTGTCAATACACGAAGTACTGTCACGTTATCAACACATGAAGTACTGTCACGTTATCAATACATAAAGTACTGTCACGTTATCAATACATAAAGTACTGTCACGTTACCAATACACGAAGTACTGTCACGTTATCAATGTATAAAGTACTGTCACGTTATCAATACACGAAGTACTGTCACGTTAACATTACACGAAGTACTGCCACGTTATCAATACATGAAGAACTCACGTTATCAAATTATGTATTTTGTAAAATAAAATATTATATTGCTAGAAAATATACACCGTGTTTTGTTTAAAATAAGAAAGACGGTACTACATAGGTAAGAAAAGAAATAACCGTAAATGGAATTTAAGTCTTATAAGTTTCCCACTAGTGTCTTCAAGGTTGCAAAAAAAATGAAGATAAATGGCACACAGCATTTTTGTTAATGCAAAAAATGAAATAAAT